ATTTAAACTAAATCTCGTTTAATACTGTTAACCCCTAACCCCATTTTTCCATTCACCACTCTTCGTTTTGCGCAAACTTATATCTTCCAACCTAGAGGGAATCACAATGATGAAAATATTATTGAAATTAGACGGACATTAGGTTGAACACGCCCAAGGAGGAAGATCAGGGAAGGGAGGGGGGTAGGGGGTAGGGGTTGAGACTATTAAACCGGCATAATTATAACTCTCCCCAATTTATCACTGTAAAGTTCGGGTTATTTTTATGAACACTCCTTGTAGGGATTATTATTGTGAGGTTCCTAAAAAGGAGATTATTCTTATGAATTCTGTCATTATAAAATCGTTTCAATTTGAGTTTCGAATTCTGATGGCCCTCCTAACCTTCATGGCTTCATAATTTTCTGGAAAATTTCCCTAAATAGAACTAAATAAAAGCAGAATTGTAACAATAGGAGCTTAAAGTTTAAATTCTCAAATATGGCTAACTCTTCATATTCTACCTTTTTCTTGTCATTCTTAATAGAATTTTTCAAACAATAATAATAAAACATAAAAAATTAAAATAAAATAAAAAAATACGGGCCTCAACCATCAGCTCAACCACCTTCCAGCACCACCACCCCCATTGCGGGAAAAGAATGTCAAGTTGAAAAAAATGTCATGATTTTGGCAATTTTGAAAAGACAGTTGAATATTTACAAATAGTAAAACTGTCATTTTCAAAGGAATGCGACTGATATGAAGCGGGAAGAGCTTGTGGCGGGACCGGGCTTGGGCCCACTTCCGTGGGCCAGTTACGGGCTGTCTTTATAATTATTTATTATTATTTTAAGTTAATGTTATGTTTTGGTTTGGGCCTTTTATTAGTAGAGTACTTAGTAGAGTAGTATGGGCCTAATTAGGATTTAATTAATTTGGGCTTGATTAGGGTTGCTTGTAGAAGGCTATTTATACCCCTCGCCAGGGTTCATTCTTATCATCTTGGAATAAAAGTTTGGTTTAGCCTTTTGGCTCTGGGCAACGGTATTAATTTATCGTTGATTATCTGGGCAACGGTTCACTCTGTTGATTTTACTTTTCTGTTCTTATCAATTGGTCCGACCTGCCGGATCCCGTCCCGCCAAGATGACAAGATCTCAGAATGATCGATTGGCGGAATTGGAGAACGAACAAGGCCGAACAAGAGAGGAGGTGGCTTGACTAGGGGCTGAGCAAACCCGGATGAACCATACGCTCGAAGGTCATGGCACGCAACTGGTGGCGATGAACCAGACGCTCGAAGACCACGGTGCAAAGCTGGCGGAGATCGCTGCATCGCTCGCCGCGCTGACTCAGGCGCTGGTGCCGCCTGTCTCGCCGGACGCCGCCGCGGCTGGGGTGGGAGTCGCCGTGACTGTTCCGCACGCGGATAGGGTGCTGCGCGACCCAGTGCTGCGCAACCCAGTGCACTCGCTACTGCCAGCGTTTGATGGAAGAGACCCGATCGCCGGACGCCGCCGCGGCTGGGGTGGGAGTCGCCGTGACTGTTCCGCACGCGGATAGGGTGCTGCGCGACCCAGTGCTGCGCGACCCAGTGCACTCGCTACTGCCAGCGTTTGATGGAAGAGACCCGATCGGGTGGATAGCTAGGGCAGAGCAACAATTTGAATTAAACGACACCCTACCGGAGAAAAAGGTGGTTGCCGCTGTGGTAGCCATGGAAGGCAGAGCTCTCTATTGGGTAACCTGGTTGAAATCACGAAGACCCGGGATAATCTGGGAAGATTTCAAATAGTCCCTAGTGTCCAGATTTGATTCCCGATTTCAGGGGAATCAATTTGAACGACTGTCTAGCGTCAAACAAATTGGGCAAGTGGAAGATTACAATACTTTGTTTGTACAACTGGCCAGTCAAGTACCCGGATTAACTGACGATCATTACTTGGGCTATTACATGAGTGGGCTTAAGGAAACAATCCGAAGTTTGTTGCGATTACTTCGGCCAGAAAACCTAGAAACAGCTATGGAATTAGCTCGCGATATAGAGCATAATCTGTCTGTCCAAAGTGGAGAAAGTGGCAGCCTGAATTATCATTCTTCAGGGGTACGTTCCAGCAGTTTTGTAAGGGCAAACACGGGTCCCCCGTTGACTGCCACTGGCGGCAGCTTACAGGGCTCATGGGGCAGCTTTGCGAAAGATAGTGGACAGCATCCGGGGACGCAATCAGGCCTGTCTGGGCAGCCTACGACACGATCTCAGTTCACCCGTCTTGCGCCAAAAGAGTTAGCAGATTTGAGGGCAAAAGGATTATGCTTTAGGTGCAAGAAACCATTTACACCAACACATGATTGTCCCTTTAAGCAGCTGCGGGTAATGTTAGCTGAGGAGGATGAAGAGTTGGACCTCAAGCAGCATGAATTCTGTGAAATAACCGGCCAGGAAAGGGTTCAGGAAAGAGAAGAAGAATATTTTCCAGTCTATTCTATGTCTGGAAATTTCAGTTCCCGATCCGCGAGTTTTTAACCTTGAGGACAAGGTTATTTTAAGGGGGTGGATTGATATGAAGCGGGAAGAGCTTGTGGCGGGACCGGGCTTGGGCCCACTTCCGTGGGCCGGTCACGGGCTGTCTTTATAATTATTTATTATTATTTTATGTTAATGTTATGTTTTGGTTTGGGCCTTTTATTAGTAGAGTACTTAGTAGAGTAGTATGGGCCTAATTAGGATTTAATTAATTTGGGCTTGATTAGGGTTGCTTGTAGAAGGCTATTTATACCCCTTGCCAGGGTTCATTCTTATCATCTTGGAATAAAAGTTTAGTTTAGCCTTTTGGCTCTGGGCAACGGTATTAATTTATCGTTGATTATCTGGGCAACGGTTCACCCCGTTGATTTTACTTTTCTGTACTTATCAGCGACATTTTTTTACACAAGATGGCATTTTTCCGGCAATTAGAGCTGGTGAAAACAGTCTTTTTGTGCTTTAGTACAAGTGTAAGACTGCCTACATTCGACCCTCCTTACCCCGCCGAAGGTGGGAACCTTTGCGGCATTGGGTAATGATTATGATGATGTTGGAAGGTGGAGGATGCGGTGAGAGTGACCTACATATTTTTTAATATTTAGGTATTTTAGTTCAATTTTTGGAAATTTTAAATTTTTTAAATATTTTTATTTTATTTTACTTTGTGTTTTCTTGTTTTGATTATTAGTTTATAAATATATTTATTATTTCTTACAATAGTTCTATTATAAATAAGACTATTATTTTTCTTATTAATAAAATAAATCTATTAAAAATTATAGGAAAATTGTAGACTAGGGATGAACTAATTACATAAATATGACCAAAATAAAGATGGTTTACAAAAATATGACTAGTTACTGGATTGGTAATGAAATCATAGTAATTCATGTTCAAGTTTTGAACTTAAGTTACCACAACACTACGTTGTAGTAATGCATAGTCATATTTATGTAAATAAATTTTATTTTAGTAATATTCTTGTAAAAAAACTCGGCTACTTTTAATTCTACTTAGGACTAATTAGAATTTACAGGTCTGGTGTGGTGTGGTGTGGTGTGGTGTGATCTGTTTAAGTCTAATTTGGTATGGTCTGAACTGGTCTGGTAAATGTCTGGTCACTGTATATTTTATAACTGTCCAATTCTGATCTGGTCTGGTCTGGTCTGTTTAAGTATGGTCTGATCTATTTAAGCCTAGTCTAGTCTGATCTTGTCTGCGACTGAAAACAATACAAAAGAAAACATCTTAATTGGCGATATACCGATTAGAATAAAGAAGCACATCAAAGCAGTTATATTATTGATATTCATATAAGGGGGAAATATCCCAATAAAATTAATTTTCTTTTTATTAGTCATATTTATACAATGTTGCAGTGTTCCCCTTTGAAGAAAACCCACAAAATATTGTTCATATTTGAGACAACTTCCCATAAATGATAATCAGAAAGAAAAACTCATTTGGGAGATTTTAATGCAAAAATCACGGTATTATATATTGTAGTCTAGTTTTGAGAAATTATTATTGATTCTAGCATTAATCTGTTTGATTTTTGTAATTAAGACTGTTCATGCGTGGCATGTCCAATTATAATTGTCTCCGTTTTGCAGTATCTAATCTGATTCTCTTATTACTAATACGTAGTATATTATTATTTGTTTATTTTTTTTGCTTAAATCTCGATCTTAGGATGTTTTCTTTTGGACTAAATTTGTTGGTATGGTCTGATCTTATCAGGTTTGGTCTGAACTGATCTGGTAAACGTCTGGACTCTGTGTATTTTATAACTACGAAAGTCAAGTCTGATCTGATCTGGTCTGGGACCTAAAAAAAACATCCTTAGAGTAAAAGTCCATCAATTCTCATATGTAATTAAAGAATTTCTATGAAAAGTAAATAATATGAAGGGGAAATGGCTATACAATCTAAAAAGATAGGCTAGATTAAGTATTTTTTCTAAATAGGCTAGATTAAATTAATAACCGCTATTAATCTTAATAAAGTGCAAGAGGTTTTAGCGACTCGCCGACTAATTTATAAAGGTAGATTCTATGGTACCCTTAAGGTACCATACCTTTGTCCACATGGACCAATAGGAATGATACAGTTAAATTAATTAAAAGGAATACAATGGTTTGGACCAATCAAATGCATGGTAAGTACGGTACCCCCAATTTTTAAAAAGGTACTGGAGTTGTCACCATTTATAAAATGTGATGAAGTCAAACACAAGATCCAATTGTATTTGATGATGAAATTTGTATCGAGTTAACATCAAATTTTATGGATTTTGGTGTTATTGCTAGACGTACATTGTTGATAAGTTTATAGAAAATCAACAAATGCTATGTATTTTATTTTTCTAAATGTGTAAAATTAACTTAAATGTACATACTAAAAACATATATACACTCAATTATGATATGAATCACAGGTTGCATGTATCATGTATGTACAACAGTACAAGATCTGAAATAAGCGTTTAGTTACTGGAAATATAAAAGTTACTACGTAATTAAAGACTGCAGCTATATACATCAGAACTAATGCGCATAAAAGTAAATAAATATAAACAACTAACATGCATAAAAGAAAAAATCATCAAAAGTGCAGAAAATATTATGATTCAAAGGCAACATGCAGGACATGAATGAAACACACAGACCTGCAGATGGCTAGCAACATGCTCTCTTGTCAACCCTGGCTCATTCATAAGCTCAACTATCTTCTTTGGAACAGCCTCTGAATATCAAAGCACACCATTCAATAACAACAACTCACCCATAGCAAGAAAGTACACCATTAACATGAAAGGAAAAGGAGAGGAAGGATGTCAATATTTACTGTCATAGCCTAACTTCTGGATAGCCTGCACAAATCTCTGATGCATATCTGCATTCCAGTTCAACCTTGCCTTCTTTTTAGGCTCAACGCGGCAATCTTCTTCGCTCTCTTCAATACTCTCTTCCAATTCTTTCCTCTTCCTTTTGTGGTGGTGATTCTTTGCCCCCTCCTCTTCCTCGTCCGCCTCTTCCTTCTTTACCTCATCATCAGGAGGTTCATCTGCAATGCGGGTCTCCACATGATGAGATACTAAATCGTAATTCCTCTTGGCGTTGTTTTCTGCTTTTCGGGCTTTCCCCTTCTCGAAAACCGATTTCCACACTTCTTTCATATCGTTTATATCAGAAAAGTTCATAATGTATGATGAAACTTTGCATTCTTTCCCTCTGGTATCAAACTCCACTTCACCTGGCAGCATCACTGCCTCAATTGGCAAAAAAAAGATCATAAATCAAAAGGCTCTACTAAAACGTGATAAGTTGATCCAAGAAAAAACAGAACACATACAACAGACACGCAGATTGAGTTCCTTCTCAATGACTTGGATAATCTCAGCCCCCTTTGTCTTTAACCTGTTTATGTTTGTTAAAACAAGGCTTAGTGCATCTTTTCTCTTGCGAATTGCGTTTATTGCATCCATTGCGCTTCCAATATGCAACACTGAGGTTTTAAAAACAAAGGGCTTGATCATGAAACTAATATTAGAAGGGAACCCGAAAAAAGGATGATGATCATATCATGATGCATGCAAAAGCATCAACAGTGTAACTTAAGACAACTAGCAAGTGATAGAGGAAAACTAAATTTGGTACTACTGTATACCTTCATAAGTGCAGTGTTGAAGCACCTCCGAGACAATGTTTTGACAGATGCAATCATCCGTGAAGACGAGTATGCAAATTCTTTTGTGAATTCCCATATCTGAAGGAGGAGGAAGAGGAGGAGAAGAATAAGATGAGGAGGGGGGATGAATGAGATTGGAGTTTCTAGGAAGTCCCTGGATGTCCATGCTTGCCTGAGTTTCTTTTCTGATCTTCTACTCTGGATGATGGAGTGTCTTAATTGGAATACTGCTCATCTTTGTGACTAACATTGGACATGAGAGGAAGGTATTAATAGTTTGCCTTATAAACCAATCAATCCACACAAGACCTATATAAGCTCTTTCAGGAAAATGTAACTCCATGATCAGCCACCATTTTATACATCTAAAAAAGTTAATCTGTTGTGGTGGGGTCAAATGCATAAATGGTACCTTAACTATTCGTAATGTTGCATTTTGGTACCTTAACTTTGAAATGAATCAAAGCAGTACCTTAACTACATAAATGTTTCGAGTTGAGATTTTATTCAAATTTCCGACCAAAAAATCACACTTAGGGGCTAGAATTCTATGCTTAAAGTCCACTTCACCTTATTTTTGTCCATATGGTCACTATAAGGTGACTCTACACATGAAATTTTGATCGTCATCAAGGATTTTGTGGTCGAAAATTTGAATAAAGTCTCAATTCGAAACATTTATGTAGTTAAGGTACCGTTTTGATTCATTTAAAAGTTAAGGTACCAAAATGCAACATTACCAATAATTAAGGTATCATTTATGCATTTGACCCGTTGCGGTGACTCTAGGTATTTTTATCTACTTAAAGATGATTTTCTAAAACTGTGACGCAGAAACTGAAAGAATATCTTACACAACTGCATTCTTGAAATAGTAATAATAGGGCAAACATATCAATTAGGATCTTCGGTATCTCATTATCAATGACTTTTATTAGCTTCTAATTTGGCAACAGTTGTGGGGGAATGTATTTTATTAACTAAATTTATGATTTTTTAAGCCTTAACATGTTTGTCCAAATTTCTTTTCTTGAAATCCTAGCAGGGTAAAAGAGGTCGGTCAAGTAGAATACTTTCTGTAAATTTTGTCATGTGAAAATAAAACAAGTCCATTATCTACAAATGTCGCGTCACGTACTTTTATTTTTATTTTGATAGTGTTATACTTCATTCTTTGTTAGTGATATAAAGCAAATGTGACTAAACATGTTTTTAATTCAATTGTAATTTTATGGTCTAATCTAGTCTAGTTTGTAAATATGATCTGATCAGGTCTGAACTAGTTTTACATGATAGGTGTCTATTCTTTGTGTATTTTATAATTGTTAAAGTCTAATCTAATACGGAGTACTACATATAATTTAGTTTGTTTAAGTCTAATCTAGTCTATGACGTAAACCAGTACAATTAAAAGCATCATAAGTGATTCAATTCTAGGTATCCTGGTCTAATTGAAGAGTTCATTTTACATGAGTATGTTGAAATTATGGATGTTTCTACTTGGAATTAGATCATATCAGATCAGACATCAACATTTGTGATATACATAAAGACCACATATCTATCAAATCAATCCAGTTCAGTCTAGACAATTCTAGTCCAAATAATAGAAATCAAAACCGCATTAGTCATTACTAAGACTTCTCCAAGCCAACGTCTAAATGTCAACAGATGACATAGGGATTGGCAAGTACGTCTAAAGAGAGATTGTTAAGAGATCAATGCATTATGCACGAAAAAGCTTCAAGTGCTTTGGTTTTTTTTAATCTATTTATTTGAGTGGTTACATGGAACATTTATTTATAGTATTTAATTCCACGCCATTGCATTACTGATATTGTCATATATATAATCTTCACATGACCCACCATTAATGCCCAAGATCAACATCAAACTTAGAACATCTTCAATGCTACAATTAGGGGTGGACCGGTTCCGGGCCAACCGGACCGGACACGGCGCGATACTGTTTGTACCCGGCCCGGTACTGTTTGTACCCGGCCCGGCCCGGGAAACCGGTTTTGGTTCCGGGCCTAGGCTCGGCCCGAGGGGGTAACCGGTTCCGATTCCGGGTCCAGAAAAAGGCGAACCGGCCCTTCCGGTTCGGGTCCGATTCGAGCCTTTTTTTATGGTTTTTTGGGGTTTGGGCTGGGTTTAGGTGGGCTGGGTGTTTCTGAGGGGTTTGGGGGGATGGAGGGGGATGGGGGCGTTGGGGGTTGAAATAAATAAGAAAACACAAAAAAAATGAACCGGAACTGGCCCGGAACCGGTAGACTCCCGGGCCGTTTCCGGGCCTTACCCAAAACCATCCAGGCCCGGCCGGGGCTAGGCCCGAACCGGACCGAGCCTGGTCCACCCCTAACTACAATATGCACGGTGAGAGATAGGAAAAATAAATCAATAACATTTCTCTCTATTTTCATGGTTTTATATCATTTTAGTAATAATGTCAACCATAATATCTACACCTAGATATTCTTCTGGACATTATGGAGAAAAGCTTACCTAAAACATACTCTCTCTGTCCCTTAAAACTTTGTCACCTTTCCTTTTTGGATGTCTCACTAACTTTGTCATTTTCCCTTTTAAGTAAAGAATTTATGTTTGCAGTTGATTCCCTCTCCTCTGCACAAACCTCTACCACACACTTTCTACTTTATTAATCTCTGTGTCGGTCAAATTTGGCAAAGTTTTAAGGGACAGAGAGTATACAAACCTTCAAAAAAGGAGAGATATATTTTGCTTACTAATATGTGTATGTCTATCTTTATGCCACGTGTGCACATCATGACATTGGTGATTCCCTTATAGTCTTGTACTCTTGTAGATAGTCTTGTAGATGAAGCAACACCATACAAGGATACGAGATGCTTTTAAGGAGCATATATGGAGAAAAAAAATGGAAAAAGTGCATGAAAAGGTAGAGAAGTGTTGAAGATTAGAGTTTTATTTCCAGTACCCAATATTCACAAAGGAGAATTTAGCCTCCCAATGGTCACAGCAAGATTAAAAAACCGTTTGCCAACTTCCCGTTGCACATGCACATTCACTGTTGATCTAACATACAACCAAGTTGCAGTTCAGACAAAACAAGAAGAAGAGCACACTGGTTGATGGGAGGACATAAGGATGTATCACTCAAATACAAGTTTACGCCTAACTGACTTGCGAAAGTTGGAAAGGTTCTCTTCTTTGTGTTCTTTTTTGGAAGCACTAGAACCACTGCTTGAACTAACAACCGGACTCCCCCCACCCTCCAGCTTTGTGTGGCAGGTGGTGTTGCCTTTAGAGGATCGAAAAAAGCTGTCTATACTTAGCTGAACACCACTTCCGCCAGAGGTCCCTGAACTCACCTGCTTTCTTTTTCTTATTGACTCCTGCTGCATTTTATAAACCCAACATTCAAAAAATAAATTAAAACTTGGGATAACAGGTTCCCGGAGCATGTAACAAAAAGCTTTATAACAGCTTAAAAAGGAAAAGAGTTCTCACCCTTTGCTTCAGAAACTGGTTGACCTTTTCTGGAAAAGCTTTCCGAACAAGTTCTATGTCTTCATCAGTTGACAAATAGCAGCAACCGTCCTCTCTATGAATCTCTGGCCCATCAAAACCTTCTGTTAAATCATTCACTTCTTCATCATTCCCACCTTCTTTGGTGGCAATCTCCAACACATCATCACCCTCGTGTGTTAGATATTTCCATTCATCAATAGCTCTCCAAGTTTCTGGAAGCATATTAGGCTTTTCTAATGCAAGTGTCTGGATATCATCAGCTGGCTCTTCTGTTAAATCAATAACCTCATCAGCTCTCCCAGTTTTCTTGATATGAACTTCCATCCTGTCAGGATGGTCATTTGTCAAATATTTCACCCCATTATATGTCATATTCTCTTCATACATATTAGGCTTTTCGGACATAACTGTATGGATATCTTCAGCTGGATCTTCTGTTAAATCTATAACTTCATCAACTCTCCCGGTTTTCTTGATATGAACTTCCGTCCTATCAGGAGGAACTTCCATGAACTCATTAGATGTTGTATTGTCCTGATACATATTGGGCCTTCTGGAGGTAACTGTGTCATCGATATCAGCAAAGACTGTGTTTGTTGCTTTCTTCCAATAGACAACATAAAACTGATGGTCGTATCTTGTTTTCACCCGCTTGATATGAGCAAACTCATACTGTCCATAGAGTAAAAGACTTCCAGAATTTGAAGCCACATCTCTCAGAAACAAAGTTGATAGCATTGGGAGCATTCTCCTCCGCGTATCGGCAGGCTTCCATCCCTGAAGTCGAGCTAAATACTCAACTAGCATTTCAGTTTTTGGGTCTGTCCAAGATATCTTCTTGCGGTCTTCATCTGTTACCAAATGATGGAAATGAAAAATAAGGTTACTTGGGTCTCTTATGTGATTTTCTTTGTATGTAATTTGGGTCGGGTTATTGCAATCTTTAATTTCCGTTCCGTTTGTTATTTGTGTTTGTTTTCCTTTGGTTTCTTCCTTCTTGTTTACTTTATTTTCTCCTTTTTAATAAAATATATATTTCCCGCAATATATGTGTGTGTGTATTTGCTATCAAAGAAAAAATAAGGTCACTAGACAAAGTTCTTTGAAATATAGCAGGAAGTTCTTTTAATTCGGGCATATATGCTTTAAAGACTGAAGCATAATTAGCAGAGTTAAAAACAACCTGATATGGAAGGAACAAAAAAATCCTTCCACAATATTGTCCTAGGGTTTAAATATGTTTTTAGTCCCTCCAAATATAGCACACTTTGTTTTAGGTCCCTGCAAAATATTTTCTTTGTTTTTCATCCTTGAAATTTATATTGGTTTTCGTTTTAGTCCATGACTAATGATAACAACCTCCGTTTGACAACGAAAGAACCCGACTAATAGGTATCCTTTAATTCTTTGTCATGCCATTCAAAAAGTATTTAATTTCATTGTTCAAAAGGTTTTAATACATATTTAAAAAGTGCAAATAAATTAGTTTGAATATTGTTTTAACTCTCTTATTAATCTCAAAAAATTATAAACTGATGAATTTAAATGTTTTTAGTAGATTTATGCAACTGATAATAAAAAAAATCGAATTAGAGTTGTATTGGAGTTAGAGATGGACTAAAACCAAAATGACGCATATTATAGGGATGCAAAACAAAGAAAATATTTTGCAGGGACCTAAAACAAAGTGTGCCATATTTGCAGGGGCTAAAACCATGTTTAAACCTTGTCCTAAACAAGGCCGTATTTTGTTAACAAAAAAACTGTATTAACATCTCCATTATGTCTTAACCTAGCACTGCTAGGCTCGTTCACTATTATTGTAGCTCATATGTAAGCCCCTTACCCATATCTCACTACTGACTAGGGTACACACCTGTCATTATTCACACATCATATGTGGATTTGGGGGTTTCTTATAGTAGGTGTTGCTGCACATGCAGTCAGTCATTTTTTGGTAAACGATATAGGTGAGGGCAATGTATCAAAGTTGTCTGTGTTTGGGATGAAGACTCTTATAGTTCCACACGGCCCACACTTAATCCTAAATTTACAATAAAAACAGAAAGATAATGAATGAGTATCAATACCAAGTCTGTTTTCGTTATGCAAATACATATCAATGATTAAATCATGTGGGAATTCCTCAGAAGCAATCTGTCTGCAGACTTTAATATGCCAATTTTCATACTTCCTCTGTTCATCTTCTTTCCTATCCTGACATATAAACATACATAGTAACACCAAGCAGATGAATTAAAAGCCTTGTAAGAAGCAGGAGATAAAAGAGAACTATTTTGCAACAAAAAGGTTGCAGTGGTACCATGATGCATGATGAGCAGTTACACTTAAAATCTGGGTCTTTTTGCTTGCAACCCTCACCAGCTTTTTTTATGCATAGCTCACAAGCACTCTTGAGGTGAGTTCTCTTACTGCCTGGATGTCCACAGAGTGAGCAATGTGTAAGTTTTGGTTTCCGGGGATTATCATCTGTAGTAATGATGTCACCCTCACCACTGGCAATACCATTTAATTCCACAATTCCTCCCCTACTAATTTTCAATAACCTGTATACCAAACAAGATACAACTGGTTAGGCAATACCGCTTAATTTTTAAGAAAAGTAAATCAAAATTATGTGTCCCTCCACTTCCCATAGAGAGAAAGCAAGCAAGCACAAACCTCTCTAAAATCTCATCTTCGCTGAAAGACTTGACAAATCGATGTGCTGTCTCTAAACCAATACCATGTACCCCGGATAGATTGTGGTCATTTCCTACCAAAATAGAAATGCCTATCAAATGCTTTCTCGTCAGCCCAAGACCAGCCTCAATGTCAGACATATGATAACACTCAAATGGATCCTACAAAAGATGCTTAATGTCATTAACGACAACAACAAAAAACAAACCAACCATACCCAGTATGTCTCACTCGGAAGTAGGGTAAAGGGCTAGAATGAGATGTACACAGAGATTAAGGGGAAGTTTCCTTGAAGACCCCTGACTAAGGGGAAGTTTGGAAGGTTTTGTAAATTTTGAAGCTAAAAAGATCTTGACTTTGTTTTGAAAATTTTAATAATTTATGCAAATTTTTACAACAAACAACAACATACAAGCCTTAGCCCCAAAGTAGTTTGGGTTCAGCTAACATGATTCCACATATGAAATCGGAGAAGAAAAAAAGAAAAAGAAAAGGGTGTTAAACTATCACCATTCCTTTTGTACTTTACCCTTGATAAACATTAGGAAAGGCATTGTGTCTTGGGTTCTCAACATGAAAAGATGAGATACAGAAAGCGGACATGAAGACTACTTACTTTGGATTTAAGGTGGATGCGTTTGATAACACAATTTGCTCCAAAGAGAAATACATCACTATCAGCAGTAAGACAAGCATCAACAAGTCCTTCTCTATTCAGCTGTGCACAGAGTGCTTCAGCTTCCCCTTTAGCATTTAAAACAGGCATTCCAAGGAGTTCAAGCAAATCCTATCAAACACAACTTATTCATGACCATTCATAATATGCTTAATTGCATTTGCATTATTTATCCACAAAAAAGGTGGTATTGGTAGGTGTTTCTTTTACTTGAGATGGGAAGACAATTCATCAGCATGCAGTGGCATGGCAAAGAGATAATATACAAATGTGGCCGCAATATACAAAAGATAACAGACATCTGTAGAGTGAAAGTATAAGAAATGGATTCTGCTGGTTTCTTTTTTTGATTCTGCTGGTTATGCCAAAGAGAGCATAATTCAAATAAAATTCAGAGAAAGAATCTCACAACACATTCGCGAACACACTTCAGGAAAAACTTGTTCCTCTGAACTGATATACCCTCTACTACTGCAGGCCGACTTGATACATCAACTCCAGATGCTCGGTAGAATCGTGCAATCCTTGCCTGAGACTTAAGAGGAGATGGAGTCCCATCTGTCACAAAAACTGGAAATGCCCCAAACTGCACATCCAAAATGGATAAACAAAAACCTCAACATAAAAGTTCCAGAAATATAAATAAATAAAAGCTTTTACTTACAATAAAAATATCAGAATGGAACATAGAAAACGAATTAGTGAATGACAGAATAGGAAAAAGAGGAAAAGTATTTATAGCACCAGGTTAAATAGCCAGTTTAGCAAATTTATTATACGAGTATTTTTTAGGGATGCAGCAGGAACATGTGCTTAGGCCTTAGGTACACCAGCTGTTACCTAAATGTTCATGCATACAGAAATATGACTGGAATACAATCAATACGAGTGAACACCAGCTGTTACCTAAATGTTCATGCATACAGAAATATGACTGGAATACAATCAATACGAGTGAACTCTAATCTGTATGCATGTATTTACTTGAACTACTTCTCTCTGTTTATCATTTGAATTTTATTTATATCAGGCCGTACACACATGTCATCATCATCGTCATCACCCCAGTGCCGCAAAGGCTCCCACCTACGGTGGGGTAAGGGGGTCAGATGTAAGCAGTCTTACCCCTGTACTAAAGGAGGGAGAGACTGTTTCCGGATGACCCATGGTGAAAATCGTGTCGGAAATTGCAAGAGCTGAATGCCATTTTGCTTTATTCCATCAAATTCACAAACCAAAAAATAGGGAATCTTTGGCTCCACACACATGTATGAAACAAAAATTAAAGAGCTCCAGTTTCTGGTTTTCTGTTTTTTCATTATTATTAAAAACAAAGATTACGGAAATCAGAAAGAGTAGTTTAACTTTTCTGTGGGTAGTTTTCTTTGGATAATTGGATGGGATTTCTGTGGGTAATGAGTTGTTTCAGTTAAACAGTCCATATCATATAACTTTAACATCTAACACATTAAGCAATCCATATCGAATTACTTTTAAAATTATAAACTAAAAAAACTAAAAACTGGGCAGCTATACCCTCGAAACAAATGAGCTGTGCTTCTCCATGGAGACAGACCATAAAAAGATTAAAAACTGAAACCCATTTTGATTTTTCTCTACAGAATGCAGAAGCGCCGTGTTTTTCTCCAAAGTCTAAAAAAATGATCTTTTCTTTTTGCGACATTCATGGAAAAGTACAGTCTTTTGACTATTCGATGTTAATGACAAAAAGTTTACCTTGGAGAAGAGATTGATGGTCTGGAAGAATATCGTTCTTATATGCGGATTTCGAAAGTTCCCTTTAATGGCAGTTTCAGACTGGACGATGAAGTACGAGAGGTCCACGGCGACCCGTTTGTCCCTCAAGAAATCGAAGCCTTCCAGTCGGGCATGAGGCTTGAGTAAATCCCAGAAATTCCCTCCAGCGCCCATTTATTTCACCAACAGCGTCTCGAGAAAAACGTTTGCGTTTGGCATGGTAGGGAATTGAGTGAGAGTGCCCACGCACTCTGCCACTTTGTGCTTCTGGAAGGAAGATGATGAAAGAAACGACGCAAAGTTCGAGAGTCCGTATAAGAAGATTTTTAGCCGTTAGGCCTTCTCAAACCCGTGGGCCAAATCCGGTTGAATGCTCTAGGATGTTTTCTTTTGGACTGAAATTTGCTAGTCTGGTCTGGTCTGGTCTGTTTAAGTCTGGTCTGGTCTGGTCTGGTCTGTTTCAGTCTGGTCTGGTCTGAACTGGTCTGGTCTGGTCTGTTTAAGTCTGGTCTGGTCTGGTCTGGTCTGTTTCAGTCTGGTCTGGTCTGAACTGGTCTGGTAAACGTCTGATCTCTGTGTATTTTATAACTACGGAAGTCTGGTCTGGTCTGGTCTGTTTAAGTCTGGTCTGGTCTGGTCTGGTCTGTTTAAGTCTGGTCTGGTCTGGTCTGGTCTGTTTAAGTCTGGTCTGGTCTGGTCTGGGACTGAAAACAGTCCAAAAGAAAACATCCTTAGACCATCCACATCCCACCCAACTCTACCGTTTTAGCCTAAAAGAATTTTTGAGCAGTTTTACTGTTTGCTGTTACTTCTACTTCAAAAAGTGACATTTTAATGTGATTTTGGAGAAAGTGCTTAATAATAAAAGTTGCTTGTGTTTGAAAAAAATGATTCTGAAAAAGTAAAAATTGGTAATGTTTGCTAAAATAAGTTTTTTTTGTGTAATATAAAAAGTGAAAAGCAGTTTAAAGTACTCTTCTGACTGCTTCCAGCTTTTAACTTTTAAGTGATTAATTTAAGCAGAACTGTCATTTGAAAACACTCTTTTCAGCTTTTTTAAATCGAAAATCACTTTTTAAAAGTTGTACTCCGTAGCAAACACTCCCTAAAAACGAGAACGCATACAAGACAATCTTCAGATAGATTTTACAGATCCAGTCGTAAACCCTAGGAGTAGACATAAAGTCAATCACCTCATACAAAACAACTTGACTCGCTAAACCTGAAACGGACAAATTTAAAACTAAAACAAATGGATTTGAAACTCTGTCTCTTAAAAGAACTCAAAAAATCCAAACATTCAAACCAAATTTACTCGGACTAAAACATAAATAAGTACCACTAAAGAGAAAATAATATTGAAATAAAATTTTTCCACAAAACTCTTCCTAGTATGGAGGTGATTCCGGTCTTCCGGAGGAAGACGAGCTCTTGAAATATGGGCGAATATCAACTTCACCATCGTCGAGTGGCCGGACAAGGCTTCACAATTCAACACTGATACAACCTCTCAGTCGCAACTCGATCATCCGCCAACACTATCTCCTTAAAATCTATATAATCTGTCGCTCCAACCCTATATTGATAGGAGCGCGGAAAATCTCTACCTATACAAAAAGGGGAGATGTTTCGGATAGCCTAAAAAATTGAACTTAGGACATGAATTTACATCGCAATTTATAAAGCACTTCAATTTTTCTTTAGTGAGTAAACATTACACTAGCTATATCTGAATTATGGAATTAATTCAACTTGTTTTCACAGTACATTTATGGTACATCTATCAAATGTAGATGAAAACCTAGGAGAAACAATTCAATGATTTGTCAACTTTTAATAAAAACTATTTAAAAGCTGAAGAAAGAAAAACAATATGCGTGAAATAGACAACAAGAAATCAAATAAATAACTTGTTTTATATAAATATAACGTATTTAACGTAAATAGAGCATATTTAAGAGTAAATAGAGCCTAATTGGAGTAAAATTTAGAGTAAAATGCATAAATGATCCTTCAACTATCATCATCACATCATTTTGGTACTCAAACTATTAAATCTGTCATTTTAGTCCTTTATCTATTTCATCTATATTAATCAAGTCCTTCCGTTAAAATTTGTCATTAACATTGACGGTAGCTAATTAATATATTGACATCTCATAGTTTTACACATTTTAAAACAATACAATCATTCTTAAAATTTAAGTAGCTAATCTAGTTTTTTTAAATATACATATATATATATACATACACATATAAAAATTATAAATAAATAATTAAATAATTAATATAAAATCAAATGTATGACTTAAATAATATACGCCTTCCGTCCCACTGAGATTGTTTCATCTTTCCTTTTCGATTCGTCCGACTATGATTATTCATACCAAATTTGGTAAAATTTGTGTGGTTCCATATCATTTTACTTTATAAAAATGGCGCCGGTGCATGGGGATGGCCGCGACAAGAGGGGAGGTGTGTGCCGCGGCGATGTGGACATTAGGTGTCATGGAGACGGGGCTGTGGTTTTTGGAAAATGAGTAGAAAATTAGAGTTTTATAATATCAATTTAAGAGTATATTCATGTAAACAAAATGCAAGGGCAAATTAGTCCATAAAATTCATTTATTTATTTATTTTATTAAATATTACGAATTTAAATACGGAGTATTGTTTTGAGGAGAAACTAATGAGGTCATGTATTGAGAAAGTGGATGAGTTTTAGTCATAACTAGTTTTTATTTTTTAATATAATTAATAATAATAACAATCATCCTCATTTTCTTATTTAATTTTATCCACTCATATTTATATAATTGATTATTTGATTGTCTCTTATATACGGAGTATTATTTAGGCCATACATTTGATTTTATATTATTTATAATTTTTATATGTGTATGTGTACATATATGCATAGTTTAAAAAAATTAGATTAGCTATGTACCTAAATTTTAATAATGATTGTATTGTTACGAAATGTTTAAAATTATGAGATGTTAATAAATTAATTAATTAGCTTCCGTCAAAGTTAACGGCAAATTTAACGGAAGGACTCGATTAGTATAGATGAAATAGATTAAGGACTAAAATGATATATTTAATGGTTTGAAGACTAAAATGATATGGTGATGATAGTTCAAGGACCATTTATGCATTTTACTCTAAAATTTATGTTTGTCTCCTACTTGTCTGCATGTCTTGTGTGGAACTTGTGCTTGTGTTTGTTATCGTGTCCTCCTTTGCGAATCAAAATGATATGTTACCAATTAACGTCAAAACTCATTTGGCAGTTGGAAACAAAATATTAAATGTATTTTAATTCAAGAGAGTGTTTTTATAGGAGGTGTGAGTGAAATATATTTGAGATTAAGACAAGAATAATACTAAAAATTAACAAATAGACAAAAAAAAGTCCTTTTAAAAAAATAATTAAGACCATAACACCTATTTATCCCATGTGACCCATCTCTACACTGACCAACGTCACATACAGTGATCAATATCACAATGATCAATATTTTAGTGATCACCGCAAGCTGGTCGGCCACAGTGACCATCGTCCAGTGAACAATTGTTCAGTGATCACCGTCCGTCTGCCTATTTAGTGACCAACATCCATCCGTTCAATGTTCTGACTTCAAAACAAATTTACGGTGTCGCAGTCGCCAAGACACTATTGTCACAGCCGCCGCCTACTAACCTACGCCCCAACCATAACTCCCCGGCCCTAGCCACCTTGCCCCTCCCCATATTCAGGTCTGACCAGCCCAGCCCCACCCAACCCGATTCACTACTCCACAGCCCACCACCGCCCGACCCTAACCTACCTTAGCCATAAAGCCTAGCCACCAGATCGCATTTGGAATTAGTCGTCTTCAGAGCCGCCACAACAAAATCACATATTAGCCGCCGCCATCGCCAGGTCGCCACCATCGCTAGGTCTGAATGCTTTCAGAGAGTGAGAAGAAGAATAAGAAAATAGGTGGTGACACTGTGACACTTCGGAAAAATTAAATAAAAGTAAATAAATAATTTTATTAGTCACATAAAGTGCTATAAAAATAACATTTTAATAATTAAGTAAATCGGATAAAAGTTCAGCATTTGTGACATTTCTAGTCAGACTAAAACACTTCAATAATATAAGTGGCATTCAATGAGAACTATGAAAATGACTTTTTAGTCACATCTATTGTTTTATATAGTAAAACTGAGTTTAAAATCATTGATGCGTCGTCTCTTATTGGTTAGAAAAAAAAAATTGTAGGGGCCAACTTTTGTAAAAAATAATACTAAAGAAAACTCATGGACAAACAGTGACATAATGCCATAATGAAATTGACCCACAGCCATCGCCGTTAGTCACCCGCTTCCGCCGCCGCTGCAAATGACCCGCCATCGGCAGCGACTTGCCATCGACAGATACAGTTACCCGACCTACCATTTACAGTTATTCTACCTGACCAATTACAGTTATTTGCCCCGATCAGTTACTCGATCCAACCCGTTATTGTTACTCGATCCGATCAATTACAGTTACGGAGTTACCTGGCCCGATGTGGAAAAATAAGATTCAGTTCCTCATTTGGAGATTAAACATGCTAGAAAATATAAAGAAAAGACTATTCTAAATTGAGCTTAAGTATTTGGAACAAGGGGTATCCGAATGGGAAGGAATATGAGTGTATTCATAGATGTTTGTCGGTGGTAGGGTCGGATATCCTAGGCAGTAGCCCGGAAGATCACTTTCCAAGTCATATACGATCATGTGTGTCAGTTTACCCGATCGGGTATAAGACAAATCTGCATAATATATTCCAGCATGATCGTTTGTTCCCCGAATTTGATTTAGACACCCGAATCAAGTCAATACCCGATCAGGTACTACATATACATAATCGGGTATGTATACCGGATCAGATACCCGAACAATTTTGCCAAATCATCTTTTTGTCTTGCATCCTTGCACTTTCCTTGACCTTTTAAGGTCCAATTTTGATCTTTTGGATGATCTTGACATGTTTTAAACTCAGAATAGTCTTAAACTAAACAAATTACAAACATCTAGGAAAACAAAGTATTACACCAAAAGTGTGTAATTTTCCCAACAAACAATTAAAAAAAAAGTTAAAAATACAAACATACATAATAACAAATCTACACTACACTATCATGGGCTGAATGATAATAATTTTTTTATATTTACAATGTTCAATTTGTTAGTAGATTAGGGGAAATGTCTACAGAGGAGCTCAAAATTCTATGGTGGGGGATAAAACTTTATAAGGCATCAACTTTAAGCCATTTTCTTCAAACTGTTTACTTTTTTATTCTTGGATTTAAATGGTAAAATATGATACTCAATTACTCATTAGAATAAAGGTAATAGATTTAATTTAATTAATAAATTGACAATAAATCGAAACAGCGAATTCTTCAAAGCAGTAATCAACAAACCTTGTTCCCATAGCTTGAAGATCGGTTCCTTCATAGCAGATATTGAGGGCACAGCTTAAATTTAGTAAATTCAAAAATATGATTCATAAGCATGGTACTAATTACATAAAATTCTAAACTAGTACATATTGTCGGCGTTATGTAGGAGCATAAATATGGATACCGATTGGACACACGAAGAGTTGAGCTGTTGGTCTTTGACATGATCAGTGAGCTTATCGAATGTTGCTCTGCCACCACAATCCAATGCATAACTTAGGTTTCCACCGTATCTCTCCCCCATAACCAGAAGTTTGCATTCTAGGAGAAGGCAGAAATAGATTACGGATTGGAAGAATGTGACTCCTTTCATAGTGTCATATGGGGAAAAGATAAGGAGAAGGCATTAACTGGTCTAGCATGCGGCTAAAGTAGAGGAGGCAATGACAGATTAGGGATGGGAAGAATAAGTGAATGGGCGGGAGAATTTTCTCTCATGTTCTCGGCCTTCAAGACCTCAGAAAATGTGATCCAGCCTTCACTAGTCACTACCACCATTCCCCTACGGCAACGGAAGCAAGACCTCTGTGGAGAAAATTTGCAGCGACGAAAGAGATCGGTGGAAAAGAAATGGAAAGAGAAAACGGTAGGAAAGAGATAGGTGATATTAGATCTAAATGGTGGTAATATTTTTAAATGAATGGTCAAGATCATTCTGTATTTCTATTAAGTATAGAGAATTATATTCGTAATATCGTTGATGCAAGTCTCACTAAGTTGTGCAAGGTTCCCCTTGAATTCGGTCCGGCTGATATGGGTATCAGTTGCCTATCAGTGGAAAAGATTATATCCTCAAAAGATTTTTAATTTACTCTTTGGTTGGCCTAGATTTTTGCCTCTTGGGTGTTTCTGCTGGCTCAGTATTTCCAACTACATCACTTTGTCTGTGGACATCATGTTGGCCCAAAAGGGGTTATGATTCAATATAACAGGTTATTAGACGAGAGGAAGCGAGACTCTATATCGTGCATGAATTGAGGGCGGTTACGGAACATTAATCTCTACTGCCTGATTCCCTTTATTGGAGTTTTGGTGGCACACTGCTAACTGCAAGGACACAATTAAGAGTGCACTAATCATTGCATCTATGGAAGAAAGTGGAAAATCTATGGCTACACAAGTACAAATGAATTGTTTGGGAGATGAGTCAGATGAGCAATTGACAACTGAGAATCTATGTACATATAATGAGTATTACACTATTATGTGCTATCGACCTTATTCGCTTTTGAGAAAACTGTTACTATTAACTTTGAGGAGTTCATCATTATCTATATATATATATATATCAGTTACTTGCGAAGTCTGTCAATCAAAACATCCTCAAAGTGTGACTCCAGCTCAGACGTCTCAATCCCTTTCACTGCAAAGAATTCATGCTTCAAAAGGGTACGAGCATTTGGCCTTTCCCAAGGCTTCCAGGCTAGACAATCTGCCACTAGCTTCTCAAATTCCCTGGAAAATGATCTTTCCTCTGATGAACCATCGCCATAATCTTCTTCCTCCATCACTATCTGTTTTCCCTTGCCTTCCACCTCACGAGTGAGCTGCTGCTGTTGCTGATCTAAGCCTTGGGGGGCGGGTGGGTACCTCTTGGGAAGTCTTCTCTTCTCGTGAATCTCCCTGCTCATCACCTCAAGGGCTTCACGGCTCGGGATTCTAATCCCTCCATAAGCCAATTCCAGGGCCATGATTCCCACCAGCCACACGTCGCTCTCCTCAGTGCTCCGTTGGTTCTTCCTCTCATGGTTGTTTACCTCTGGTGCAGCTGCCCAATGCGAGATGTCAGTCTCGGGCAATGTGCAGGATGATGAGCACTCCAGATTCGAGACCCCATGATCATAAACTGTGGCTCCAAAGCCCATCTTGATATTGGGTCCGCTCTGCACATAAACATGGCCCGCACTGATATCTCCGTGGATCATTTTGCCCTGATGAAGAAAACAAACCGCCTCCAGAACTGATCTCAGAATCAGAGAAATGAATGTCTCTGGAAGGCCGTGCGGGAAATGCTCAGCCATGATTGATTGGAGGGAGCCCCATTCGGCATACGCCATCACGATGAAGTAATCCCAGGAATCCTGGTCAAGGAAAAAACCTTCCACTTGCAACAAGTTCTCATGATCTTTCTTAAGCTTATTGTTTTTCGATTCCAGCTCATTCTTTAACCGCCTGTAAACATCCGGGTTAGAACGGGAGTTCACTACCTTGACCAAAGAGAAGTCGTTGTAAACAAACTCTCTGTGGTAGGGGATGTCATCACATATTGAATACGCTACCCTGTAAACAGGAAGTTTGCCGAGGGAGGCTATTCCGATTGGATCCATGGACACAATCCGGTACACAACCAGGGTATCGGGATCCACCAGGTACTCCGTCAATGTAGGAGGAGGAGGTGGTGGGGAAGCAAAATGAACAGTATCATCATAAGCATCATTGTTATAATCTACATCCATCCAGGAGTTGACAGGGGAGGCACTGCTTATTTCTCCTAAGCTGTTTCCCCACATTCCCTCACCATCCATAACTCCAGATTCTGCCTCTTGAGTTTTTGTCTTTTTTCTTTCTTCATCCTCCTTCCCATCGAAAGTTAGTTTCCTTTGAAATTCCAGGACAAAAGCAAAAACAATAAGCTTCAATTCACGTGAGATAATGTTAACATTGAGTAATAAACAGGGATGGGGACACGATCCGATCAGTACTAATGAATTGATCCTTCCTAAACAATAAGCTTCAATTCACGTGAGATAGTGTTAACATCGAGTAATAAACAGGGATGGGGACACAATCCGATCAGTACTAATGAAATGATTCTTCCTAAACACTGCAGTTAAGTACGTACCTCTTGTGACGCAACTTGAACGGGACATCAGTCAATGCAGGGGCGCTGTATATATGTATATATAAATCTGAGTCTAATTAACTATAAACAGAAGAAGCAGACATGCTGTTGGACTGCAATTAATTGTTTCAAGTATCATAATTCATACCTAGAGAACAGGATGGACAAGTATCTTTTGAACTCAGTATCCAAATGTGAGATGTCAGTCCCGGACAATGTGCAGGATGATGAGCACTCCAGATTCGAGACCCCATGGCCAGGGATTGTAATCTGAGGCTCGGGCCTCCTCCTAATTAAGGAATGCAATTATTAGGAAAAGAGTACAGACAGTTAAGGTGGCTAGCATGCATGTGCGATGATCGGATCATACCTAGAGGTTGACGGGGGATCGAGATTCAAATCAAAACTTGCAGTAATGCCAGGGATTGAAATCTGAGATTGGGGCCTCCTTCATTAATTCACAGTAATAATAATAAGTATAGTCAATAGCCTTACAATTTTGAAAATTATGGGACATTTTAATCAGTTAGTACCTAAAATCTGGGGCAGCAACACGCAGCATATTCTTAAGGCCTTTGACCGCCTCCATTTGAATCACAGCGTTCTGAAAGTGCGACTTCAAGGCCGACCTCGTCACCCCCTTCTTGTTGAAGAACTCATGCTTGAGAAGGTCACTCGCAGTGGGCCTATTCCAAGGGTCCCACGCCAGGCAATCCGCCACCATCGTCTCAAACGCCCTTGAAAACGATGCCCTAATTTCCTCCTCTGGATAAACCTTTCTCATTATCTTCTGCTTCTTCTTTCCCTTGTCACTCCTCTTATCCTCCTCATGGGCTTCTTCTTCTCTGTTATCGTCAATTCCTCCGCAGCCGAGCTTCTTCGGAAGCCTCCTGGTCCGGATGATTTCCTTGATCATCGTCTCCAGCGCTTCCCGATTGGGGACTCTGATCGTTCCGTAAGCCAATTCGAGGGCTGTGATTCCCACCAGCCAAACGTCGGACAGCTCAGTGTAGTCGAGGTAGTACGTATCGTTTCTCCCGCCGCCGCAGTAGACCTCTGGCGGGGCGGCCCATTTACAAATCTGGGTCACGGGCAAGGAAGAATGGGATGAGCACTCGACATTGGGAACCCCGTGCTCGTACAGCGTGCCCGCAAACCCCAGAAATATCCGCGGCCCGCTCTTCACGTAAATATGCCCGGCGTTGATGTCCCTGTGGAGATTTTTGAAGCGGTGGAGGAACTTCAGAGACTTCAAGACGTACCTCAGGGCGACGGAGATGCAGGTTTCCGGCAACCCGTGGCGGAACTTGTCGGACATCACCGACCTCAGGGACCCGCGCTCGCAGAAGGGCATCACCAGACACAGATCTTCCGTCTCCTGCTCGATGAAATGGGCCTTCACCGGCATCAAGTGCTTGTACTCGCAAGGCAATAACAAGCCCGCCATGTTTTTTCTCAAGATTTCCCCATACAGATTGACGAAGGGCAATACGGATTCGCTGTCGTGATAGTTCACCCTCTTCAGGGAGAGGAATTCGTGGTCAGCGAACTTCCTTTCATTGCCGCCGCCAGAGTTCTCCTCCTCATCGACTGAGTAGGCCACTTTGTAGACGGGGATGTTATCAAAGTCTCTGCCGATTGGGTCCTCCGATAGGATCTTGTACACGAATCTTGTACCATAATGCACAATGTATTTGCGACGCCCAGAATCTGCAGCAGCCATTCGATCGGATCATCTGATGATCAATATATGAAATGTATGCCAACTTTTCAGACGCTTGCGTATGTTTAGTTTCTTGGTAATTCTGTCTTGATTGTCGAATTCATCAAATTCAATGAAGTTGGTGGTAGGGTTTAAAAGAGGGTTTGTGGACAAAGCTTGGAGGGAAAATGGAATGGAAATATAACTTGATTCGTAACTATGTCGCTCATGAAAGATGAAAAAATCCGGGGGTGTGCAGTCTCTTAAAAGTTAGTTGTAGTCATTAGTCTAGCATAACTAGTACTACTGCTCTTTATTAAGAGCCGGTTTGATAGCACGAAAATCAGCTGATTTGGTTGATTCTATTGAAATTTATAAAGTTATGGTTGAAATGGCTATATTGGCTGATTCTGCTGATTTAAATATATATTATGAATAAAATAAATAAAAAATTATACGTACTATGTAAAATAGCTACAGTGGTCATGTACAGTAACTTCAGCCAATACAGTCAGAAAAGTAACTTCAACCCTACTTTTTCTGCTTATTAGACAATTCAGCACACGAAAGCAAAAGTTACGTGTTTTGTGAAAAAATTGGCTGATAAGCCTGATAAGCCAAATAACAGTGTTGTCAAACGGCCTCTAAGAGCCCGTTTGGTGGTACCATTTTAGCTATCTTTTCATATAATTTTTTATTTAGTTTATTAATAACAAATATTTTAAATGTAATTTTTTTCATAAATAAGCAGAATTGGCCAATACAACCACTCCAGCCAGATCGAACTTCATAAATTTCAACAGAATCAGTCAATTCAGACAATTTTAGTATTACCAAACGGGCTCTAAACGTCTCGTATTTCTTTTTGGGATGTTTTTAATTATTTGTCAATCAAATACTTTTTACCCCATTTTTATTACCTTACCCCTTTCTATTTCCTACTTTATCACTTAAACACAAATCACTGCACATTTTGCATTAACTCTATTATTTTCTCCTTAAAACCTGTGTCAAAGCCTAAGGAGGCACTTAATAAAGGACGGCGCCACGGTGAAAGTAATTCTCTTTAATTATTATACACTTTTCCCTTCCATTTTTTCTTTCTTTCTTTCAGTAATTATCATGTTTTGAAAATAGTTTTTTTTAAATAAATAACTTTATAATTATTGATAAAGCTGACAAGAAACATTACAATCATAAAGCTCAAGGCTACAATAGCTCAAGGCTACAATGGGGTGAGACATAAAAACGAACGATTCAAATCGAAAACGCCGAATCGCTAATCCCGCAAAGAAGTAGACTCTACATGTAGATTGATTGCTCCTGTTACGATAAAAAATTATCAAAATAACTCTTAAACATCCTGGTTTATCCAGCCACCAGTAAGGAGCCAACTGTTGAATTTGTTTTGGTTTCACCAGCCACCGAAAAGAAAGCAATCCAAATGATCTCATCTTCCTGGAACGGCGGTGGTTCAGGAGGGGGCGATCCATCTCAATATCGGCGCAGAAGAAAATCATATTTTTTATTAATGAAGAGATCACTGCAAATATCTCTTAGCACACAAGAACGTCCGACCGGAAGTAGCGGAGAATATGCTTCTGGTAGACAATACTTCGCCACCGGAAACAATATCTCCTAACAATGTTGGGAAAGAAACAGATGAATAAAACCGAAAGCATTGATTATGAAGATACTTTTTCATTATTGGAATAAAAAAGATTGCAAGAAGAGAAGAAAAGAAGAGAAAAGGGGAGGAGGTGGCTAGGGTTTCCCATGCCATCCCCGCTCCTCTCTCTTAGGAAGTGGAACTAATTATTTATTACTTTGAAAATACTCCGTAGTTATTATAGGCAATGATAAAAAAAAGACAATGACAAAACTATGGAAAATACTTTAAAACTTATCATGTCGGCAGCGATTGCTTGATTCTTTCGGAAAGCATACCGGCGGGGGGTTACACATGGGGGGACGGATTAAAATTCACATTCCCTTATGGTCCTACAGTTTGCAGTGGACGAAATAAGCTAAATTCAACTCTGGCCTTTTTGAAGAGAAACTGATTCTCAATTCACTGGAATTCAAAGCCTCAAGCACTTGCATGGATCTCCCCGCCCCCATCAGGTTTGAAACTAAATATAATAGAATATATTTTACTCCCTCCGTCCCAATTTGTTTTGCAAAGTCAACATTTTTTGGTCAACCAATAATAAAAGTCAATGCTCCTTATGGATAATTAATTCAATTTGTAATAATTAAAATTTACATATTCATAAACTACATTAAAATCTCTTCAAAGTTGTAAACTTCAAATTAAAATATAATTAAAAATTGACATCCTAATTAAGTGAACAAAACAAAACTGTTTGACCAAGAAAAGTCAAATTTGCAAATAAATTTGGGACGGAGGTAGTAGGAATATTTGTTTCCTAAAATATATTTAGGAATATTTGTTTCCTTTTGTATTTTGAACTATCTTATTATATACTCCCTCCGTCCCAAAAACAACTTCCCACTTTCCTTAAATGGATGTCCCAAAATTAACTTCACACTTCAATACTTTTCTTATTTGGCAAATTATCTACATCAAAAAAGTGATAAACAGTGTCAAACAGTGTTTAAACAGTGCCAAACAGTGTTTAAACAGTGCTAAACAGTGCACTCTACAGTAAAGTCAAATTTATTTCCTAAAAGTGTGTCAGGACGGAGGGACGGAGGGAGTATTAATTTGTCAGGACTCTTATTGGAGCACCTTTTTCTCATATATTCTCTCATGGTATCAAGAGCCTAAAAGAAAAACCCTATTTTTTTTCTTTTCTCTTTCCTTCGTACGAATCCTTCGTACGCTCGGTGTCGCCGCCATGTCCGACGAGGTTTCCTCCACGGCGTCGCTGACTACTTCAACGACCACACCACCTATCTCTCCTATGGTGAGTGTCGGTTTCTCCTCTGCAGCAGAATCCTCTTCCACGGTTATCACTCAGGCGCCTCAGGCTCATTCTCAGCCACCGATCTCTACTCATGTGGGATCGTTCACTATGCCGCTGCAAATCTCCGATCAGATGGCGTCCTCTTTTTCGCCATACACGACTGCCCCGGACTACTCTCTCTTCAGTACGCTGCCTCCCCAATTCCCATGGCAACCGCTGAGTCCTCTTCTTCATCCGCCAGATGTTCGCCCGACATCACTGACCCCGCCCAGCTCTTCCTACTTTGGGCCGTCGTTCGCTGGCTTTCCGGGTGTGATGCGACCGAACCATGACAATCCCTTATTCGGTTCTCCTATGGCTGCCCTGGCTCAATCTGTTTCTCATGGCATTGCAAATGTCGGGCAGATTGTGACCATTAAACTCAAAGCGGTGGAAGACTATTTGACATGGAGAACTCAGTTTGAATCATTCCTTGTGTCTCAAGGCCTTTTTGGTATGTTAGACGGCTCTATTTCGGCACCTCCCTTATACACATTGAATTTTGGGGCTTTTGGGGTGGTTTTCCTTTTTGGCCTTTTTGGTATGTTTGACGGCTCTATTCAGCCGGCTTTTGGGGCTCAAGTTCATGCCGGGCAGCAAGGCCAACTAACCGCATACCGCGGCAGAGGCGGAGGTCGCGACAGAGGACGCTTCCAGCCACCTCAGGGCTAGGGGCAGCAAGCCTACCAGCCATCGCAGGGCGTCAGCCAGCACCAGCAAGGGCCTTCCGCAGCACTGGTACCTCCTGCAACAGGGGGTGGTTTTCCTTCAAGGCCAACTAATGAGGCATCCGGTAAATCTGTTGTGTCAACTTTAAATATTAATGCTAAATCTACTTTTGGTACTCACTCTCGTCATGCAGGTTTCCTGTAACGCCCCAAAATCCGGTCTAATTGTTAAAACTAGATACGAATAAATTTATAACATCACTTTAAATAAATGATTATACTTCAGCAAAATTGGGATTTTCTTCCTAATTATATTCTTATTCTTAATTTTATTAAAAACTCTTAGATTTTATTTGATGATATTTCTACGTACCGAAATTGAGTGTTATGGTTAAAAGATAAATAGCATTTAACGTGGCAAGTCAAATTAGGATACGAAAAAGACTATTAGGAATTTATCCAATATTTATCCATTTAAATAATTCCTTGGTGACTAATATCTTGGGAAAGTTCCCGAAATGGGACTAAAAAAGTTTGAAAATTCCAAAATAGGACTGTCATGTTTTTATTCCCAAAATAGGACTAATTACTGCCAAAGTTGGAAAATACTGCCATATTTGAAGTCTGGTACTGCCAAAACATGACAGTAATTAGTTCTATTTTGGGAATAAAAACGTGAAAGTCCTATTTTGGAATTTCCAAACTTTTTTAGTCCCATTTTGGGTAATATATCTAATATCTTCATAGAACTTGGAGGAGTAGTGACGCAGCAACATAAAATCCTTATCACTGGACACTTGGCTTAATAAGACACTCACTACAAAAAAACACGCGTGTAGTCACGGACCGTAGTCACGGATTTGGTCCGTGACTAGTTTAGTCACGGACTAGTCACGGAAATTTAAAAAAAAAAAATAGTCACGGCTAGGACCGTGACTATGTCCGTGACTACACTTAGTCACGGTCGTGGTCCGTGACTAAAATCCTCCGATTGGCCCGTTTGATTTTCCGGCCTGGCTTGTTTTACTCCGGCGATTTAGTCACGGCCACATCCGTGACTAAAGCCGTGACTAAATTTAAAATTTAATTTTGCAGCTCCCATAAATCAATTCGCAACGGTATTATGTACGGATAAATTTAGTCACGGCCATGTCCGTGACTATTTCCGTGACTACTTTGATTAACACGTCATTTACACGTCATTAACACGGGTTGGACGCGTAATGGACACGGTTTTGCTTAGTGACGGACAAATCCGTGACTAAGTCCGTGACTAAATTTTTTATATATGCAGGAGCAGCTCATTCAACAGAACCACACCAATTCATTCCCAGTATATACAGTATCTGTTTGAAAGATCGAAGGATGTAGTCTATCTTCTATCATTTTCCCCGTTTATGCAGATAAGGTATGTTATTTGAATTATTATTTTTATTTAGAATTAGTTGGTTCAATTTAAATTATTAAAACTATTAAATTAGTGAGGTTGTTAATTAATTAACAACATTTTTAACTATAAGCGTAGTAATGTCATAAAATTAGTTAAACTCTTAGGTTTGTAAAATAATTTAATTAAAATTAGTTAGCTAAACGTAGTTTTAAACGTAATGATGTTT